CATTTTCCGTAAATAATTAAATCATAAACATTTTTTTCTCTTCGAAGAGTAGGCTTATGTCAAATAAACTTAAAATATTATAACGAACGAAAAGGTATCCCATTTCTAATAAAATTTAATTATTTATTTTAATTTGGTATGATCGTAGAAAAAATCTTGTGTGTAATTCGAGAAAAAAGTACTTTGGCTGTTTCGATAACTTTTTGTCTCAACAGCTATTTTGTTACAATAATTTTATAAACTTTTACTTAGAGTCGATTTCACCGTTTTGTTAAACGAAGTTTAAAATACTAAACGAAGATTAAAATGACATTTTTATATTAACAGAAATAAAGTTTAAATTACTAAATGGAGTTTAAAATGACATTTTTACATTAACAATGTCATTTTAATCTTCGTTTGACACAACGGTGGAATCGGCCCTTAGCTAGTTATATATTGATAAAGTGTTATTGCCTCATCATAAAGGAATCCTACTAACAAATAAAGTAAAAAAAACGTCTCATAATTTTTCATCTTTTAGTTACCTACCAAAATTAGGTACTACAATACAAATATTTAAGTCCGGCCCAGAACACCTCCCTACTCCTTCCACCCAGTTTTTCGGTTTTGGCAAAATTCGCGCAGTGACAAATGCTTCCTATGTTACCTCTACCCTTTCTAACCTCTTTGCTATTAGCATAATATATCCGATTCTGAAATTTGCGGATGTTAATACCACAACCCGTACAGTCGTCGAATGGCTAACAAAATGACATTATTGGCATATATTTTCCCAGATGCCAAACCCGGCCAAAGATCAAAGGATTTTAAAATGAGAATTTTATGACCTTGAAACTTTAAATGGATATGAGACATAGGGGGTTATGATGGACAAATAATGTTATTTTTAACATACATGTTATTTGTGAACAGGTTGATATTTCTGTTTGTTTATAAAATAACAGACCTGTTAAAAATAACACAGGTTGTCAATCATAACCCCCATAGGTGTTGCAAATTAAAAATATTTTTAATTATTCTGCCTAAACATTTTGACCTCGTAACGTATCAGGGTTGGTATAGCAATTTTATGTTTGAAGAATTGTCGAAAAGTTGTTTATTTTATCATAGTGATACCAGTAAAAAAAAAGTATAGACCTTTATTATGTTAAAATTAAACTCTTTTGACTTTACGTTATTTATTTTAAGTCGTAATGTCATTGATTGTCAAAGCCAGATACATAACATAGAGGCCAGGCCGTAGGACACATTTAAAACTACTGGGTTTATTTTGAATTTGGAGTACTATTATACACATCGATGACTTAATTTGTGGAATATTCATCACCAAAAGTTTCAGAATTGTTATCAATATTATTTATTAATTTACTTTGTCTTGTTAAAGATGTTATGCATAGACATCAAGACAATTGCAGAATATATTATTCACTGTAAGAGGTAGCGTTATTAACGTTAGGTATGACTTCATTATCATCATCTTCAGATAAATGTAAAAAGCAATATATTTAATTAAGGAGGTCCTTTCGCCACCAATGTTAAATAAAAAATATTAGATTATGACTAAAATTAATTTTTTTCTAATAGTAGATGTCCTTATTTATCTAATAGTGAACTTTTAACTATACCTTACCGTGCAAATTTTTGAAATTTTTTTTTTTAAAATGTGTGTGTTTGTACAGTTTCTTATGAGAAAGTAAGACTTTAACAACATTTTTTGATTTATAATTAATTTTACTATTATTTATTGATTAGATGGAGTAGAAAAAAACTAAAAATAAGGTTTTTGAAATATTTAGGTTTTGTTTTTTACAATAAAATATATAGGTTACCGTGGAATTTATTGAGAAATTATTATTAAAAAATCACAAAAAATTTTCAACTAGGTTACTTGAAAATTTTTTGTGACTTTTTAATAATAATTTCTCAATAAGTTCCACGGTTTACTATATATATTTTATTGTATAAAACAAAATCTAAATATTTCAGAAACCTTATTTTTAGTTTTTCTCTACTCCATCTAATCAATAAATAATAGTATAATTCGAGAATTGTTGTTGAGGACTTACTTTCTCGTGAGGCACTGTGCAAATACTCACATTTTAAAAAAAAAATTTTAAAATTTGCAAGGTAAGGTATAGTTAAAAGTTCAGTATTAGATAAATAAAGACTTCAACTATTAGAAAAGAATTAATTTTAGTCATAATCTAATAACTTTTTGTTTAACATTTGAGGCGAGAGGTGTGGCGAAAGGACCTCCTTAATTAAACGCACAAAGTTTTATCACTAACCAAAAAAAATTTTACTCGCTAGGCACAAAAATCAACTTTAGGTAAAAATCCAAAAACTATACACTTTTATCAGTGTATAATGAATATATAGATATATCACTAGCAAAATAATAAATATGTGTAGATATCGGGCCGGTGGTGTAGCGGTCTAACGCGCTTATATTCATTTATAAGCAAGTTTATGTGTCAGAGACTGCTGGGCTTCGAATCCCAGACCAGATCATGTGGATTTTTAATTAAATTGCATGGTTGGGTATAGGATTTGATGTGTGCCGTATTAATAGAAATTTAATATCTGTTGATATGACATGCAGATTATAAAAAATCGCCATACATTACTGTCTCGATGATGGTGGGTGAGGTTTTCCGGGTTTTCCTCACCTGTAGGTAAAATGGCACCATCAATCATCTTTAAGTCGCCCCGGAGCGCCACGGCAAATAATAATAATAGCCATCCCTTTCCTCGCACAAGCTCAGCTTTTGGTGTTAAAATTCACTCGTAAGGGGGTGAATTAAGGAGAATATTATTATTATTAAATATGTGTAAATATGTAAAAATATGTATAAATAAACACTGAACCTAGTACAAAATGCAGATACTATATAAAACTTAGCGATACGATACACAAATTTATAGGAAAGGTTAAACTAACTAGGAAGAAGGTATTAGTTGAAATATAGAAGACATGCAGTTAGTATCATTAATCTCTGTGAAATACCTATGTGAATTAGAACGATAAGTTATAAGGAATCTATTTCAAAGCAATGAGCTATTTAACCCAGTAGTTAAGGCGCCATTTTGTAATATGAGCTTGTTATTTTATCTATTTTTATAGTGTTTTAAGCTCTTATGATTTTGGGCAGTGGGTCAGGTTATTAAACAACTCGTATTACTTTGAAAAAGAATGTTTAGCGCCACTATATTTAAAACTTTCCAAACTTGACAATCGATTAGTGATGAAAATATAGAAAATCACTAATCATTAAGATATTATAATTAAATAAGGTTTCATATAAGGCCGCGACAAATTCTAATTCACAGAGACTTACTTATTCAAATTTAAATGATTTATTAAAAACTTATCTGTGGTATAACAGGTAATAGGTAAAGGGGATTCGTATGATACGCTTGGATATCACCAACTGTTAAATCTTCATATGTAAAGTTAAATCTCGTAGACTTCTTTGGATGGCTCGAACTAAACCTTTCGATATACTTGAAACAATTTCTGTAGCTAGAACTAAAGTTCTAAATTTCAATTATTCTACACATGCAGTTTGAACGTTCTTCCAAACAATCTTTTTCGATAAAACTTCTACAGAACCATCGATAGAACTTCTACTGAACCATCTAGATACAACCAGGCTACAAGGAAAAATGTAAAAATATCAAAAAAGGAGCCAGGTAGAGTATATAGGAAACAGACAAGATGCTTTTTACTATCAAATGAACAAATTAAACTATTATTTGAATAGTTACACAGAGACTAGAATTAATATGAATAGGAAAAATCTTATTTAACATATACAGTAAAGCGTATTATCTCTTTCCTAACAAAATAATAGATAAAATTATATAAAACATGTGATTTCTTGTGTTTTCATGTTGAGGTTGCTTCAAATTTGACATTTTAATTAGACATTCTTGTACTAAATATATATATTCAACAAAATATCGGTAGAAAACTTACCATTTTAAAATCAGACGGTCATTAAAAATATTAAAGGCAATTAGCACATCGGATGTCGAATATAAAAGATAATTAAAATTCAATAATTCAACTTGCTCGATGGCAGCTATAAATCGAAATGAATTGCCAACTGTTGACACAAGGCATAAACGACAAATGACATTAGAATAGAGATGTTTGCGTCAAAATAACAAAAACGGTTCCAATGTTTGGGTCTAAATAACGAAAACGGTTTTAACCGTTACAACTTTATCCATGTGTCCTTTTTTATGATACCGTTTACATTAAAAATTTTCTTCAGAAAAACAGTTAGTTCTGTGTTGAATAATTATTTTTTCCACAATGCAGTGGCGCAGCGAGGGGGGGTTTAGGGGTTAAACCCCCCCCCCCCCAGACGCGACGCAAGATAGACGATTTTTAAATTGAAAAAGTTAATCTAGGTAAAAAAAACTCATCTTGGCAACACTGTGTTCTGTGTTAAGGGTTTTTGAAGCGTCAAACCCACGCGTCTTTACTAATCAACATGTGGACAACACGTGGACAATATGTGACATCTGTGTCTAAATGGTTATGGATCTTTGGATACTGGCTCACAATTCAGTTCCAGTAGCTGGTTACGCAGGTAGCGGTGTTATTTCTGTGAAATATTGATTTTAAGTAAATTATGAGGATTTGTGTGATTTGCGAGGTGAATTTCCCGGATTATAAATACAATGGACAAATTTTTAATAAAAAAACCAAAACTGGATTGTGCTCAGAGCAGCAATATTACTGTATTTTGTGAATATAACGCTAGTGCTAGGAGTGCTAGTGCCAATTGGCGACGATTGCACCGTTGCCGTATTTGCCGCAATTTAATTTCAAACAGACCTTTTTTTTTTACTAATTCACTGATTTTTATATTGTAGTTTTTGAAATTGGCTAGTAAATTTATTTCGAATGAGAAAACATCAAGATCTTTTATGCGATATTTTCAATACATATTTCCGGATTATACATACTGAATAAAAAAGTCAAGGTGTTTTTTCTCTAATAAGTGGTGCTCTAAGAGGAGCACAAGCAATTGTTCGGCAGAGCTACCCCAAAGCCCTCTACGTTCATTGTTCGTCACACTGCTTCAATTTAGCACTTTCTGATGGATGTTCAGTAGCAGAAGTACGAAACTGTCTGGGTACTATCGAAACGGTTTACAATTTTTTTAATTTTCCAAAACGGCAACGTGTGCTGGAACATGAGATCAACAAATTAGAAGAAAAACCTAAAATAGAAAAACTTAAAAGATTATGTCCCACCAGATGGATTCAGAGACACGACGCCGTGAATGCATTCGTGTCTCTTCTAAACCCACTAATAAACGCCTTGTTTGAGATTTCCACATGGACCGATAAAAAAACAGCAACTGACGCTCAATTGCTTTCATCGGCAATTTGTCAAAGTAGCTTTCTTTTATGTACTTTTATGGTAAAATATGTGTTTTCGCTAACTTTACCACTGAGCAAGTACTTACAGACACCAAATTTGGACCTGAGTTTAGCTCTTCAATCAGCTGAAAATGTCAATAAATCTTTAACAAAAATGAGACAAGACGACAAGAAGTCATTTTCAGATATTTACCTGGAAACAAAAAGGATTTGTGATGAGTTTGATATTACAATCTTACAACCTAGGACCACTTATAGGCAAATTAATAGAAATAATGTACCAGGATCATCACCGGAAGAGTATTATCGAAGAGCTATTTATATTCCGTTTCTCGACCAAATAATACAGGCAATAGATGCAAAATTTTTAAATCATAAAAATACTCTTGAACCTTTTCAAAAACTTCTATGCAATAATAATAGTTTAGACATTAAAGAAGTTTTTAATTCCACCCAACAGCTCTTGGAATTTTATGAACTGGACGATTCTGGTGCTATGGGAGAAGTTATTCTTTGGGTCCAGTTTATCAAAGATAAAACAGAAAAGCCACGAAGTGCAATTGAAGCTTTGGAAAGATGCAATAAAAATTTGTTTCCCACGATTCACAAACTTTAATTATAATGGCAACTTTACCAGTCACAACATGTTCTTGTGAGAGATCGTTTTCTTCCCTGAAATTTTTAAAAAATTATTTGCGGAATGCTACTAGCGAGGATAGATTAAACGGTCTAGCTTTGATGTATATACATCCAGATATTCCTATTCTGGAAGATGAAGTGCTTGATGTCTTAGCTCTCCAATCTCGCCGTCTTACAATTTTATTATAATTAATAAGTAGGTACATTTAAATTTATAATCTTACTATGTTTTTCGTTTATTGATTATGGGTAGATATATGCAAATCTGTAAACTTTTATATTGTTATTATGATTTATATTTTTCAAATGTATTTTATATGTTCGCTGTTTGAGTAAACTGACTACATCAGATTTTTTATTTATGTTTGTTTTTAAATTTCCTCATATAAACGTTATGTGTTGTGTTCTATAATATATTCTCGGTTTTTTACTGCTCTCCCAATTTTTTTTAAAACCCCCCCTAATACAAAATTCTGGCTGCGCCACTGCCACAATGTAAACATACTCCAATAAGTCCAAGTTTTTTTTAAATTAATGTTGTTTCGGTATTTACTTCCCTGTTGATCGGCATAATGTTTTTATTGGAACTGGACGTTTTTTGTTGCAAGTGGGAATTTACTGCGTCAATAGTTGCTGGACCAGATAAGGAACTATGATAAACTTCACGAATTTCTTTTCTAGAAATTTCAATAGATATTGCAATTCTTTTGCTTTTTCAAAAGAAATATTTGTGAATTGAAGTATTCTTTCTCGAGTGGTTGCATCTAAGAGCCCTCGAATAAATTGTGCCCTGAGGCACGGTAATTAAGGAATCACAGTGGACTAATCAATTTTAATTTTACCCGCGTGTCAAACGCCAATAGAAATCGGTTTTGCTACCAAATTTAATCAATAATACCCACTCACCAGTTAAGCTTCCGAAGTGAAAGTATTCTTAACAACTTACAAAATCAATTTGTTACCACCTCACGTACAAATCAAGATGACTTGCCAAATCTCGGGCTATCACTTAAAACGAAGAACTTAATCATGCGAGAGACGGAACTACAGCACTGTCACGTGGATAGAGCCAACCAACACGGATTTTATTTTATTTCGGGCTCGATTTAGCTTCTGCCGATTTTTTTCTTGAATCCATTAATCACGGTTTTTCTGTTAGAACAATTTGAACGAGTCCTTACAATGAGTACACGACAAATTGTTGTTGATTGGGAACAAAAATAACCTAACAGGCTTCGTCTGGTGAATGAAAGTGATTAATTTTTGCCCTTTCGGTGATTAATTTTTACAGAGAATAGAAAAAAGGGCACTGGTTGGGGTTTCTGAATCGTATGATTCAAAAAAATGTTGAAGTACAGATTTTATTCAAAATATTTTATTATATTATAATAAATAGTATTAGCTTAATAAAGTTATGCATATAATTAGGAATGCAAACGGAAACAAAAAAGAAACTAAAGGCAATTAACAATATGTACATTGAGTTGAACAGAAAATAACTATTTGATATTTTCAATCAGAAAAAGTTACCAAAAAATCGAAGATAGAAAAAAAAAAGTAGTGTGACAAAGAAGAGATTATAAATATTGTTAGAGATAACTACAGTCGACCAAAAATCGGTTTTGAAACAAAAGAAAAGTAATAAACATTAACTAAATCTAAAATCGTCGGCTTCCATTAATTTCCATAAGGGTGCTCTAAACGCAAAGATCGGGGGGGGGGGGGGGGGGGGGGGGGGGGAGTCCCCTATACTCTACCCCACTGTTATCAGTTGACAGTCGACATTACTTTTAGTATCTCTTTATATAATTTATTATTAATATTGAACACATTTTGTCAATTTTGTTTAAAATTAATTTCTGCTGTACTTTAATAATTAAAAAATTAGTACCTCTTGCGTAAACCATCTAACTGTAAACCTAAGTTGTAATAATCAGAAACTGCAGGTGATTTGTTAATTTCATATCCTCATCTACGTAGATGTCTAAAATAATTTATAATAATAATAATAAAATGCCTTTATTTGCTTGTAATATACAATGCACATAAACATCATGAGGATAAACATAAAACAAAAAATTGTAAAATTGCATTTTCCCGACATCAAATCAATTAAGGAAAAAAAAAATTAATAAATTAGTTTGGCAAATGGATTCAGATTCCGCAGCCATAGTTCTCGAATTCACACACACAAACATCATGAGGCGAAGTCTAGCTTGCGCTACTCAACTTAACCTCAACATAAATATAAACTTAAAATAATCAAAAGGTATCTATAATTTACAATATAAAAAAATGAGAATAAGAAATTTAATATACAATTAATTTATGATTAAAAAATATTAAGTTTGTATTTAATCTAAACTGAAATCAATTTAGGTCCTAAAATCCGTTATTTTTAAAATGCAAAACAAGAAAATGTATGGAACTTAAAATGCAATTAAATAAGGAAAAATGTTTGAAATTAATAATATATTAACGTTAGCACTGTATTAATTGCTCAATTAATAGCAACGTTTTATAATTTTGTTTTAAAAATGTCAGAGAACGAGTCCTAATTTCCCTAGGTAGACTGTTATATATTGAAACGGCGTTATATGTGAAAGATAATTTTTATGTATGAGAGAGTATTAAAATAATAAAGCGTTCGTAATCCATAGGCGTACCACTTCTTTTAGTAGACAGTTAAAATATTTTTTGAAGTTATTCCTCGAGTATACACTTATATTTTCACCTAATTAACCTGCTTATAACTTCTAAACAGCTGAAGGTAAAAAAATTTTTTTCTAAAATGTTTTATTTTTCCACAAGGTATGTTAAGAACATTGTGTCAAACGGGTTATGTAGGTATAAGGGTTTAAACTTTGACTTTTAAACACCGTTACGTTCATAAATTAATAATTTTAATATAAAAACTACTTCTTACCTACAAATCCAAATCAGAATCGAAATCAGAAGATGAACTGTCGCAACCAATATTTACAATGAGTGGCTCGATCATTTCATCAGTAATATTGTCCAACTTCCACATTTTCTCTTCTTTAATCGTATGATTTACTGCCTTTTCCCAGTTTTCTGGTTTCACATTATTTACAGCCTCCAAAAATAACTGTTTAACATCACTCATTTTAAAAGAATTATTTTTTCTTCAAACTTCTCCCTTTATCTGTGCCCATATCAGTTCAATCGGGTTTACTTCGCAATGATATGGTGGTGATCTAACCACCGTCATCCTACGATTTTTTGCAATTTCATATTTTTTGAATTTCTCTTTATGATGGGAACAGAAATGATACAGTTCTTTTCTCACAGAACCGGGATGGAACTTAATATTCTTTGAATTTAGCCAATTCTGTAAATCTTTTTTTAACCACTTGGTTGTAGGCATTTTTTCTATAAGTCTCGAGTGATAACTTGCATTATCCATTACTATTATACAGTTCTGAGGAAGAAGATCTATAATTTGTTCGAACCACTCTTTAAAGACATCAGCATTCATGTCGTCATGGTAGTCACCGGTACGAGTAGATTCAAAAGTCAATAAACCACCTTTAACAAAACCGTTTGAACTACCGATGTGTACTATTATTAGTCCTGCGCCCCTTTTCTGATGGTGGATTTAAACCCGTAGATAAATTATTTAAAAAAGCCTGTCTTTGACTTGTAACAGTTTCATCTTGCCAAAATTTATTTGGTTTATGTCCCCGTTGATCCTTGTTTCATCTAAATAGAATATATTTCTTCTTTGGTTTCTCATTTCTTTTATAGTCCTTAGGTAATTTCTTCTCCATACTACAATATCGCTTCTTTCTATTAAAATAGACTTTCTGGAATGCTTTTTCCATAGAAAACCTATTTCTTTTAAAAGTTTTCATAGTGTGCTTCGACTCATTTCAGGGTAATTCTTATCATCTCGAACCGTGGCAAGAACTTTGTCTACTGTCGGAAATTCTTTTCTAAAGAAGAACGCATGCACTTTCCTTCGAAGTCTTTCTTTCAAAATATTTTCTAATTGAAATTTTGGTTTTCCTGGAGCTTTACGTGCTGTTTGAAACTCGCCACATTTCTCTTCTTTAACAACTCTGTAAATCGTAGATTTCCCAACACCAAGCGTACTACTAACTAATTCCACTGTGTCATCAACACTTTTACATAAATTTTTGTCTGTAAATGATTTAAAACAATTAAATATTAATGTTTTTTCATTAACTGTTAAAGGACCGATTTTTTGTCGTTTACGCGGCCCTTCCAAATTTTCCATGATCACACTAGAATTCACACTGCACCTTGCAAGTTGCAACTTAACGACATTTAGTAAACTGTCAAGAATACACAACTTGGACCTCCTTACTAAATGGAAAACCTACAATCGCATTTTCGGTGAAATTTGTTGGGAAGGTATTTATCTACTTATAATTAGATTACTGTAAGAAATTCTTGGAATTAAAGAAAACAAAATTAGCAAATAGGTACTTATTGAAAATAATCTTAAAATAAGGCTATGGAATCTTTAATACACAGAGCTTTTGGCATGTCCAAACCTTTTTCTATTATTCGATACAGCTTATGTTTATAAAGGACCAATAAAAGACCCAAAACTTGTAATAGCTCAGGTACATTTATTACAATTTTAGGAGATATTTAGATTATTCTATAAAAATATTTAAAATGCTCGTACTAAGTTTTGCATTAAAAATGCTGTTTTATTACTTTCTCATACATAAAAATAGACTATACATGTATATAACTTATTTCATAGACTAAAAAATTACTTTTTATTAAGAGCGCACTTTATTAAAATAAAGCACGGTGGCGAAATATTGATGGAGAGAACAACGGTTTTCAACAACCGAAACCAATCTTATGCATTATTACCAAGAAAACTAGCAGGGAATGGAGGAAATCCAGTATTCAGACGTGCCTACATCGACGGCAAAATTGCTGCAAAAGAGCTCAAGTATAGTGGTGAACATGAAT